ATCTAATAAAATGTTCAGTTCGTTGCGTATAAAATTATCATATTTTACACTATCAAGTGTTCCATCGATGAAGTAAGGTCCGATTATTTTGTCATCTATGATACCACACCATACATTTACAGACCATTGTCGTTGATGATCAACTTCTCTTAACCAGTGCGGATTCTCAGTCGACCAATAATGCATATTATGCAAGTTTACAGAATTATAATTCTTTAGTCATGGCTTCCGGATGGTTGCCGCGTCCGTTTGCAGTGTGGTGCCGACGTTTCGCAGGCGTTGCAGTCTGCATCATCAGGGCTGGGAGACTCTGATACTGAGCTCCCTCGCGTTGCGCTCGTCCTTTTATACTCCTTCTTGGGGGGAAGGGGGGGTAGTCAGAGGGCGGGGTAGTCAGAGGGAGGGGGGGTCAGCCAATGGCGGCTGAGTTTTTAAAAAACCGGGAGGGCGGTGTGCCATATCGGGCTCACCTGATAGCCTTTGTCGCGATTCAGATTGTCAGGGTGTTTCAAGATTTCTATGCCTTCGCGGTGTTTACGTGCGAAATAGCTTTGGGACGGGGCCAGCATGGTGGCTTTGTCGAACTGGATGGCGTGTCCGGTCTCGATCTTGTGTTCGGCTCGAGCTGATTGTGAGAAGTGGCCGTATTTGGCACATCGCTGGTGTTCTTTGATTCGTGTACTGATCTTCCTCCCGGTTCCTCCTATGTACACTTTGCCGTAGGAGCATGGGACCTTGTAAACCCCTGGGGCTGTTAAAGGGGGTCTCCGGTCCTTGGGATTGGGGAGCATTTGTGAGAGCTTGTTGCATGGTTTGAAAATCGCTTTGATGTTGTGTTTGCTCAGAATTCTGCTGATGCGGTCCGTGGTGCCTCTGACGTATGGGAGTATCACTGCCTTAATCTTCTCTTTCTCTGTCTCTGGCGTCGTGGTGTTGTTCTGGCCGGATTCCTTGTTTGTCAGCTTCTTGATGGTACGGTTGATGTTTCTGCTGCTGTATCCGTTCATGGTCAGGGTTCGGTGAAGGTGGTTTAGCTCTCCGTCCAGGGCGGTTGGTTCCGAGATAGAGAGTGCTCT